CCCGTTCGCCCTCGCCTTTGGAAGTTGTTGTTGTTGTTGTTGTTGTTGTTGTTGTTGTTGTTGTTGTTGGGAGAAGGAGAGAACGACGAGGCATAGCAATCGAAGACCTTTTCCGCGTGATTCCTCTTCGGAAGATTGAAGCGCATCGCCTAGCAGTCTGATCAGTGCCAGCAAGGTCAACTTGTTGCTTTGTAGCAGATCCAGCAGACCTGGAGGCAGTGAAGCTGTGAGAGCATCGTGCAGAAATGCAGTGATGTACTGCTGCGCTTCCTCTGTAGGCCTCAACGACACATGACTCGTCATCTTTGGCCCGCGCGCGCCAGAGAGAGTGAGAGAGGCGTGGTTGAGAGTTGGCGAGTGGTGAGGGGATGCGAGGCATGCGAGGCGTGCTAGCAATCAGCCGGACGCTTGGTATTCAGCAAATCGTGAATGTCTGCAATCTTGAATCGTAATCATGTCCTTGGCACTTCTCTCGCGCGGGAAAAGGTCACGCGACACGACCTCATGAGGCACGTCACGTGATTCAGAGCTCTACGCGGGCAACGAAAGAAGTCAAGAGTCAAGAGTCAGTCAAAGTCCGCCAACGCGCAGCCATGCAGCAGAGCAGCTGCTGCCAACGGCGCGCGCATCCACGCTCATCCGTGCATCACGATCAAGTCAAGTAACAGCTCCAGCCAGGACTCACGACTCACGACCATGTCAAGAGTCACGAGTCACGAGTCACGAGTCACGGGTCACGGGTCAAGAGTCAAGAGTCACGTCACGAGTCAAGCAAGAGTGCAGCCAGTGCCGCTCACCGCTCACCGCTCACCACTCACCACTCTGACTCCAAGGCTAGCAACACCACTTACTTTGCCCTCGCACCTCCTCAACTCGCAACTCGCACATCTCGCCTTGCTGTCAATAGCAGCTTGACTGCATGAGCCTCAACGACGTCGACGTGGCTCTCAACACGCTACCTCTGCATTCACTCTCCGCGACTTTGGCCTGCGCTGTCCCCACAACACACCTGGCTCGCTGCTTGTTCATCGCTGCGTCCCTTCCTCCCTTTGCTTGCTCTCGCTCCTCCTCTTGCTGCCATCGCTGTATCGGCTCTGCCTGCCAAGAGGAGATTCACAAGGTCGCATCAAGCACTTCACAAGCATTCATCCACCCATCTACAGCGACCGTGAGCTCACTCCCAAGCCATGTCAATATCTCCCGACTCCACTGGCGCTGCCGCACCCCAGTCCGACGATCATGCTGCCTCTCCCTCCTCACCTGTGCTCCACAACGAAACACTCGCATCCCCAGCCAGCATCTCCAACAGTTCTACCAACCAGCACATCCACATTCCTCCTGCCTCTCCTAGAGCACCATCCGTCGATCTCATGGCCGATTTGGAACCTGAACTGGAGCGTCAACGTCTACCGCGTCTGCATGCGCTATCTGGTCACAATCCAGGCCCATCCAACAATTGGACATTGACCTCTTCCCAAGCTCCTGGCGGCGGTGTTGAGGATGCAAGCGTGGGAGCAGAAAGCGCTTCGAGCATGGATCACGCACTCGCTGGACCTTCTAGTCCCACCATTCACAGATCTCCCGGCTTTGCTAGATCCGTCGGTCTCGCCAGCGCAGGAGGAGCGCTGGGAATGGACGTGGGCAGCGGGAGTCCGATGACGATGCCCGTTCGAGGATCATCCAACACATCGAATCGATCCCCCATCGCCGCCGCTTCCGTCAATCGACGCAATCCCAACGCATCGCCATCTCTCACCCGTGTAGCCGCACCTCATCGATCGTCACCCATCCAGATTCGTCATTCGGCGCTAAGCAGTCCGCGTTCGATCTCTCAAGATTCAAATCAAGACGACGAATCGTTCTCCAACGCGCTGGGGATGCACACTGGCGCGGCGCAGGGTGATCAAATGTCTTCATCTCTTGGTCTCATCACTTCTCCACCTCGTTCAAGAGAAGCTTCCGCTACCTCTCCTCCACCCACCGTCTCTGGCCCGGGAGCGCCTTTGGGCGGACAAGGAGAGAGTGCGCCCACACAATCCACGCTCAACGCTTCGTTTGTCGATCCTCACGCTTACGCAAACACGAACGAGGATTCGGAAGGGATGCAGACCCTCGTTCCTCTGCGCAACGTCGATGACAGTGCTAGCGGGAAAGAGCCAAGCAACGGAATGGGCCTAGAACTAGGTCTATCCAATCCCACGCCTCCCGGCTCACCGCCTGCTTCCCAAAGGTCCACAGCGCAAGGCGTCTGGAGAAGAGATTCGAGCATGTCTCCTTCCGGACGTAACTTGGTCACATTGGCTCCTCTGAACGGCATCAGCTCCACAGGCGTGACTGATCCTCGATCGCCCGTCTCGCCGACTGCTCCAGGTGCAGACGACCCGGAGCGCATCGTGCAGGTGGACGATGGAGAGCCGCGTCAGCTCAACTCAGGCAGAAATGCCGGCCCATCAGGTGCAGGACCTAGCGTGACGGAAATGTTCAGGGTGATGAGCAGACCTTCTCGACCTTCTTCCGTCGTCGCTTCTGACCTACCTGCTGGTGCTGTCGGCGACCTTGCACAGACCCAAGAAGCAGGCCAGGCACCAGCAATCTCCTTTGAGCATGCCGCTTCTCCCATCCCACCCTTGCCAGCGCCCACACCGCCGCTAGGCACGACCTACTCCTCCTTTGGCCCCTCCAATGCCAATTTCCCAACTCAAGCCATTCCAGGTTCATTTGCCAGTACCGGCGCTGGTACAGCTGCGGGCGCACCTCCTGGCACCACCCCTTGGGCGACGGCGACGGGAAGGAGAACGAGAAAGTACGATTTTGATATGAGACGGGACTGCGATGCGTTTGGAAGGGAGATGGACGAATTCTATTCTTACGTCGAAGCTCCGCAATTTAGGGAACATTGGGAGGCTTTCAAAGAGTGGATCGATCTGGGCTCCGGCGCTGGTGCGCAGGAGAAAGCCGAGAAAGAAGGGCTTGACGTTCCAGGAGAGGCGGAGATCCATGCGGATGTGGGCACGACGAGGAAGGATACGATTGGTAGCGGTGAGTAATGAGGCCTTCCACCATCTGTAAAGTCCTCTATGTCTGACCGACTGCGCTTTCGGATTCGGTAGAGATGGAATGGACCTCCTTGCCCTCGTCCACGCGTCGACGAACGCTCCTCCAACTCCTCTCCGAGCTGGAAGTGCGCGATAGCCTTACTCGCCAAAGGGCGTCCAGAGCCTTGTTGTACCTCTTGCAGGGCAACTTTAGGGATACGCTGGGAGAAGAACATCAGATACAGTGGATGATGGAGAATGCCAGGATGGTCAGAAGTTTGGGAGGCATAGAAGAGATCACTCGAGCGCTAAAGAACGCTTGCTGGAAGCATGATTGGCTGAGGTGCGTTTTTTTTGCTCGTCATGTCGTCCAGCTTTGAAACGAGGATGGAGTGTTGATGAGTCTGCTGGGCACCGCGCCTACAGCGCATTGCCGGATGAGATTCGCTCATCCACCGAAAGTCAATCACCAAACGACGCGCAAGCTGCTGAAAAGGACCCGAATCAAGCTCCTTCAGCACCAGCGGTAGCGCTGGCTGACGACGGCAGAAGGCAGCCGCTCATGACTCACGAAAATAAGCTGGATTTTTTGGACGAAATCAATCTCGAAATCGCACTGCATTTTGCTCAGCTTTACATCCTCGTCGAGACTGGACGAGGCGAGCCTGAGCTTGGAGACGAGTTGAGTGAGTAAAGGGCGCGGGATGCGGCGTTAGGCCAAATCGTGTCTTTCTTTGCGAGTAGTGGAGCGCTCGCACACAGGGGCCGATATTGGCTCACACGCTGCGTCTGGCTCCTCAGTGTCCCTCGATCCACCACTGCCCGTCTTTTTGTTCGGCTTGGTCGCTAGCTTGAGAGATAAGAATGCCAAGGGGTATCCCGTCAAGAAACTACTGCTGTTGCTTTGGAAGACGCTCCTGGCTGCGCTTGGAGGCGATGCAGACATTGAGCGCTGCAAGATGCTAGCGCGGCAGTTGGAGGGTCTACCACCAAAGAAGAATGTGGACGAGGCGAGCGGAGAGAGTGAGTTTATTCTTCGCGTTGGGTGTTGAAGCTGGAAAATTGACATTGGACCTCCTTTTCTAGGGAATACGAAAGCGACGCCTCTCGACATGAAGGCTTTCCACGAAGAGATCACAAACAAATTTCCCACGTACGAGTCCACCAGAAGACCTGACGAGCTGCCGCTGGACAAGATCGCCACTGCTGTGAATCCTATCCCTGCTCGCAAAATGTTTGGACACCACGACACGAACGCGAATGGTGCGCAAGCAAATGCCCAAGGCGGACCTGGCAATGCGCAAGGACAGCCTGGAACGCCAGCACCTACGCCTCCTGCGAGTCCAGGACCCAAAGTGGGCAAGCAAAAATACCAGACGGATCAGAATAGACCATTTGTCTTCCCTTTTAGTAGGAGCGTGCAGGGAGGCAAGATGGTGCCCAAAAGCATCGAAGAGGCTGCACAACTGTACAAGGAGCATATGACCGTTGGGCTGGATATGTGGCAGACTTGGAGGTTGAGAGAGCAGGTGCTGCATGATGAGAGCGGTGTGGCCATCGGGGCGGACGGGAAGCGCATTGGCGTTGGTGTCGGTGGTGCTAGAGCCGGCAATGGCCAGACACTGGGCATCGAAAGCGGGCCGAACGCGTACGGAGAGTTCAAACACTCGTACGGATCCATTTTGAGTCCTATCGCACGACGAGGAGATCTCACCATGGACGATGCAGCGTCTTCGTCGCAAGGCAGTCGCAGTCCCAGCACTACCGAGGCTCCACTTTCCTACACCACCGAGCGACGCAAAGCTCGCAATGGAAGCACGATGAGCAGCGGCGGTCCGTTTTCGGTGCGCGGGGAACCGACTGCGGAGAGACTGCACGAGCTGGAGATGGAGCTGGAAGCGGAGCTTGCGAGGGTGGAAGGGGACCACATGCTCGCTGTGCTCGATAATCCCAAGTACGTCTCTCTCTGCAACACTTTGGCCCAGCAACGTCTTGATGCGAGAAGACTACAAAGGGTGGACCTGATCTATAGAAACGCTATACAGCATCTGCATCCGACCGCCATTGTCCTCCTCAAACTTTTGCTCGCTACCGTTACGCAGCAGAGCAGCACGAATAGCCCGCACTCTCAGGCTGTCGCGGAAGGAATCAGTCCTGAGGAGGCGCCACCTCCGACGTTGGAAGACATTGATATTGTGAGACATCGAGAAATCACGAGCAAGGCTGTCAGCGCCATCATCCTCCTCATCATGAGGTGGTTCAAGACGAGCCATGCGATGAAGTTTCACTACTTTAGCCAGCTGCTCGTCGATTCCAACTCTTTGCTGCTCATTCTGAAAATGTTTGGACTGCAAGAAACTGCGAATACAGTTCGAGCCATCAACGAGGCGCCCAACTTTAAGTTTTTCAAGTACTGTGAGCTGTACTGCGGCAAGGAGGAGCGCCTTCACCAACCTGAGGATACGTACCCCGACCCGCTGTACGGCGTCGGCGCTGCTGGGCGCACCACCAACAGTCCACCACCGCCGGGCGGTATTGCTGCGCTCCCGCTGCGAGGCGATGAGGTGGAGCTGATGCGCGAATACTCGTTTCGCAACTTTTCGTGCGCTGTAAACTTTTTGCGAGTCCTTCAAAAACTCACAAAGCGCAAAACGCACAGAGTGCTGATGATGGTGCAGTACAAATCTTCCAATCAGCTCAAGAGGGTGCTCAAGATTCCTCATCCTGGCGTGCAAAAGTATGTGCTCAAGATGCTCAAGAGTCAAGTGCCCTTTTGCGGTCGCAAGTGGAGACAGGCCAACATGAAGGTCATCACTGCCATCTACCTGCACTTGAGACCCGATTTGAGAGAAGAGTGGCTGAGCGGAGCAGATATAGATCAGGACGTCGAAGAGAGCTTGCCGCAAGAACAAGCTTGTAGGAACCTGGTCAAGTTTTACAACCTTACCAGATTCGGTAATGGAGGCCCCCTTGCTGCGGGCGGGCATGGACACGGACACGCGCACAGACGATCCCTTTCCACTGGCGTCCCCGAAGGCGGGCTTGGCGGACCTCATGGGCCTCCATTGCCCGGCGCGTCTGCGGCTCCACATCATCCAAACTCTGGCCAGCAAGGACCAGCACAAGCGACGCCTGGTCTGTCATCTCCCTCGCGCAGCTTGGCCGGCTTCTTTGACACCGATCTGCACCTTCCGCCACTCAGACGTCGGACGGAGAGCACGGCAGGCACGCTACGGTACATTCCAGACGACTTGTTGGATGGTTATTTGGACGAGTACGAAGATGTGCTCGGCGAATTGTTTGGTTTTCCGGATGCTGCAGCGATTGGAGCGGGTGGCATGGAGCAGGAGAGTGGCACGTCGATTGAGAGTGGCGCAGAGAGCGAAGAGAGCGCATGGAGGGACGATCGATGGGCGCTGAATCAGAGCGGCGCTGAGAATGCGTGGGCTAGGCTGGGAGAGATTCTGGGAGTGAGTGCGACGTGGAGGTGCTATCTCGATGCCTTTTTGAGGGGGTGGAACCCGCAGCTAATGCGCCTCCGACGCTCTCGCAGGATACCGAGTCGATTTCTGATTCCGAGTCCATCAATCTTGGAGACTTGGGATCAGAGAGCTCCGCGAGCACCACGGACCTTGCGAAAGGCGCGATGGAAGGAGAAGGCGAGATGCACATGCCTCCTCCTCCAGAAGGCGCTCAATCTTGGGAACACCTTTCGCCCAGAGAGATGCGTGTCTTGACGTCTCCCCGTCCAACCACGCCCGGCTCACCAGGTGCTAGGCGCAGAAGACACAGCAGGAGCAGCAGCACAGAATCCTCTGGTTCGCCAGCTCGACCCACGGGTCAAATCAGGCGCTCCTCTTCTTCCGGATTAGCACACGCATCGTCGGAAGATGGAGCTGCTGCGGCCTTGCTCAGACCGAATGCTCAGCGCGCTGTGAGGAGCAATTCGGACTCGAGCCAGCTCAGACCTGTGCTCAGCTTTGGACCGGAGCTTTTGGAGGATGATCAGGATGAGGAGGAGGAGGAGGTTGGGGAAGAGGAGGAGTACGTGGATGAGATTCCGAGACCTAATCCTCAGCCTGGAGGTATTGACGAGGTGAGATGGGCAGTGTTGTCGAACCTTGCGCGCTCGGATCGACAGCTCACATCGCGGCGCCCGATCCTTTGCAGGTGGAGCATTTGTGGTCGGAGTAAGAGCCAAGTGCGCGTGCGATGCAATCAGCAAGGCACGCGACCGCACCGTCACCCGCATCCAAGCGCTCCAAGAATAAGTCGAGAGATTGCTCGAATCGTCACGAGGCGCGCTGTTTTCACGACGTGGACCGTCAGTCACGATTTTGAATTGCATGCTTTGCACTGGCGCTCAAGTTGATCAGGCCCGCTATCTTTATGACACCTCGCCTAGCTAAAAAGTTTCACGGTTCACGCACGTCTCGTCGCCCGCGCTTCTCTCGTTTCGCGCGCCATGCGTCCCGATAGAGATTTGATCTTCTCCCTCGCCTCGACCAACAAGGCAGCTCTAGGGATGTGATCGAGCAGAGCAGAGAGGTCACAATTCAGCGCCACATGCCCACACACCGTGACTCGTCGCAACTCACTCCTTCGTCAAGGCGGACTGCACATTTGCGAGCTGTCTGCCTCCAGGCTGCCCTGCTCGCGCGATCGTCGAGCGTTGTGAAAGTTCCAAAGTGCGCAGCTGAGGTCGCAAAGTGGAAAGCTGATACGAGAGCTGAGAGCAGAAGCGCATGTATGCAATCGATGAGGGCGCGAATCACGGGAACCCCCATCTCTTGCAGCACTCACCTTCTCGACCTGGGCCGAAAGATCTGTGCCAATCGCGCCTCTTTGGCCGTGCTCACCGTCATCGACCTCCCTCTTGAGCCCGACGACGCTCTTTAGCTGTTTAAGCTCCTCGAACCACTTCGCTTCATAGATGCTGAGCACAGGCTGATGTTTGTCCATCAAATCCTGAAGCAGCCGGTCTGTCCTCTTCACCAGCTCCTTTTGCCTCTTGGCCACTCTTTCTATCCTTTCATTCACATTTTCGGTCGAGTCCGCACCTCTGTGCTGCTGCTGCTGCAAACCGACTTTCTGCTTTACCCCTTCAATCTTATTCAGTTGACGCTCCAGCTCTCTTAGCTGCAAATCTAGCCGCGCTTGGACCGCCTGTACAGCACTGGTGACGGCCCTGAATTTGATCCTGAGCGATTGAGCAGATTGACCCAATGCTCTGAGCGTCTCGGCCGTCATGTCAATTTCCTTGCCTCTGCCCACAGACGGAGAATAGATGATCTTTGAAGTGGTGACGTTGGACGTATTGCCGGGTCCGAGTCCCAGCATGTCTTTAAAAATGGCAGGTAGCGAGAAGCCTTCGCCCAGCAAAGAGATGTACGCCGAGCTTGCGGTCGCATTTTCTGCGGGCTTGCCGCTCACTCTCTTTGAGCGATCGATGGTCGAATCGCCATTGCTTGGCTCGGGTTGTCCAGGTACTCGCATGCTGAGCTCAAGCGCTGCCACACCTCCAGACTGCCCGGGCGATAAAGCGATTAGAGCGTAGGAAAGGTAGACATCCGTCATGATGCAGAGTCCCGACAATGGGTGGGCAGGCGTGTCCTGTGACGGGAGCAGAGCTGCGGATGTCTTGACAGCCCACCTGACAGTCGAAGGCGGAGCTTCTCTGATAACTTGATCAAGAGGCGCTCCGGATCCTGGTGCACCTTCCGAGTCCGCTTCCTTTGCGAGTGCGGTGGAGATGCTTCGAGCCCATTCTCCAACACAGATGGCGTGCACGCCGAGCGAGTGATATGCATAGAACGTGTCATCATACAGAGCGTCTTGAACCAAAGTCGTCCTCTGGGAAGAGAACGCGGCCTCCAAGGCGGATAAATCTTCTCTTTTCTCAGGAGAAAGACGGGCCACGACGCTTTCTTGAACGCCTAAAGAGATTGTCTCGTAAAGCAAAATGGAAGGCGACGTAGATTGATCGAAATCATCTTCATCTTCGTCCGAGCTGTCGTGCTGTAGACGACGGGCAAATGAGCACACCAGCGAGATTGTCACCTGAGGCACGTGTACTCACAAAGCCATATCTGTTCGAGGACTGCGCCTTGCCTCTCTGGACCCGTTTTGAAGAAGCAGTCTTGATGTTCTTGCCCCAAGAAGGACTGAGCCTGGGCAAAATTGCCAAGTCCAAGCGACCATCATCACTCGCAACCACGGCTACTTCAAATTTTGCACCGTCGAGGCTAGCGGGAGAGGGGGAGGAGTCTTCCAGCGGAGAAGGGTGCAGCAAGAGAAGGTCTGTCACGAGCGCCTCCCTGACGTCCGACAGCTCGTGCGGGGAGCTCGAGAGTAGACAGGGTCCCTGCAAGGTGATGTTGCTTCCGCTCTGGCGCGGAGGCGGCTGAACGCGCACACTTGCCTCACTCGCAGCGGTGTCCTCGTCCTTCCTAGACCGAGTTGGACTTTCTAGCTGGGACTGCGCTTGGCGTTGAAGCGCTGAAACGTACCGCAGGGCTTGCGAGCGCATGGGATCATTAGGCGAGAGTGATTGAGACATCGCGCTCAGGGTAAGCAGAAGTGGAAGAGGTATGTTTCTGAGGAGGGTGATTTATCGGACGAGCTGGTGAGAAAAACGCTCAGCATTCAAGTTTTCAAAAGGACACTCACGCATTGAACGGCAAATAGGGACACAGCGCGTAAAAATCGCCATTTTCAGCCACAGACCAGACGGTCAGCGCTTCCCAGCCTTGAGACAAGAAGTTGCTATCCTTTTCCTGCTGTGTAGGCTGTGCACCCTCATCCTCTCCCAAGCCTGGCTGCCTGGCTCCGGTATCAACACCTGCCTGCTCTTCCGTCTCTCGAACGCCAAGCGCAAAGCTTGCACACCTTTTTGAGCTTCTGCCCTCTGCGACGTCGGAGAAAGAGGCCGAGGTGCGTCTATTGGAACTGAGCTGTGCGCTCGAGGGCGCTGGGTGAGCAAAGCCGTAGGATGGACTGCGTGTTGAGCGTCGGTATGCGTCTGCGTGAGGAGCTGGGTTGGCACTAGCTGAGGGCAGCAGCGAAACGACTTGAACAGGATCGCCGGGAGTCGCAGCGTTGTACTCCCTGGGTGTGTGCGTGTGATCCACAGTCAGCTGGAATACATATGCCTCTGGCCACGCTGAAGACCTCCAGCTTACCCTGCAAGCACTCACCGCAGCATTCCATCCCTGGTGCACACCAGCATGGCCAGACCATCGACGCTCCACGGGTGCCATTTGACCTGACAAATAGCATTGTCACTGTCTGCGCCATTCGAAGCTCGTTCGTCGTGATACCACTCTCCAACTCTGTCCGCCAAGCAGTTCAAGCTCTTGATTTGCTGACCATTGGCGCTCGAGTGGCCGGATTGAGCGCTTCGAGGTAGAACGAGCACCACGAGCCTGTGCGTGCCCACCACTGCGATCAGTCTGCCAGTCGGATTTACGACCAGCGACTGAATCTCGAAATCAAAGTCGACCTCTTGACTGTCCGCATCGATCGCGCTTGGCCTTGGAGTGGTGGATCGTGGGCGAGCGAAAGGTTGAGCATATCGATCCTGTCTCCATTGCGGGGCGAGCAGGGTGTACGTCTCTGTGGCTAGCACGCTCTGCAAGCTCAAGCCACCTCTAAGCCCCTCTAGCGCGGCATGCTTGGCGCTGATCAGGCTGATCTGCCGTAATTGTCTTCCTTGCGCCACGTACAGCGTCGAGCCACTGATGACCACGTTGGACTTTGGCGTGCATGCGGTCTGCTTGGTTGAAGTGCCAGTGCCTGCCCAACTAAAGATGGGATGGAAAGGCAGGGCATTCAACCACTCTGAATCGAGAGAAAGGGCATCCAAATCCGTCTCGGGTGGACTTGGCGACTGGGCGTAGCTGTATGGACCCGATGAATGCGTGCTCATCGTGCGCGCTGAAACAGGGATTGTGTCAGCGTGTGGGAGAGAAGAGGGAAGGAAGGTCTGGAGGCGATGGGTGAGGCGACAATCGCAAATGTAAATCTGACCATCACTTGCAACAGGTCAGAGAGTGAGAGTGAGAGTGTGAGTGTGAGTGTGAGTGTGAGTGTGAGTGTGAGTGTGAGTGTGAGTGTGAGTGTGAGTGTGAGTGTGGATTGGCGTGATCACTCAAGAATCGCAATCGCGTGGGTCTCGAGTCTAGAGTGGGCCTTGAGCGTGAGTCGTGAATCGTGAGTACTTGACTGTGTACCTACCGGTAACGTGCGCGGGTAAAGGAAGCCTTTGGCGGGCAAAACGCATCACGTGAGCTCGGCCTCAATTCATTCAATGTGAAGAATCAATCTCAGATTCAATTCGAGATTGGCGTAAGGTGCGCGCCTCCACTCATGACTGTGACTCACATTGTTGTGACTGCGACTCTAAACCGACGACTGCTCGGAACGCGAGCTACTCACTCATCACACTTTTGAGTTTTGACTTGTTGATCTTCGCAGCCTGTCCAAGCCACGCGTGCCCAATCAATCACACCTCTCACAATCGTGACTACCTTGGTCAAAGATGCATTCAGCAATGGGACTACCATTCGCGAGTCACTTGTGATGCGAGCTTGCAGCTATCACACCCAC